ACCGGAGGTGGTTCAAGCGCCCACATTGAACACCTTCAAGAGCAAACTGGATGCTCATCTTGCTGGGATCCTATGAACCCAGCTGACTTCCTGCCCTTTGGGCAGGGGGCTGGACTCGATGATCTTCTGAGGTCCCTTCCAGCCCTAATGTCTATGAAATCTATGAAAATTTTCGTTCTTTGCTGTTCATGAAACCTGGACCTAACTCAAGAAGTTTCAACATGATTTTGGGGTTTTTAGATGAGTTGATCTTCCATGAAGTTGTGTTGTGGAGGTACTAGACCAGGAGTGCTCAGCCTGTGGTGTTGTCATCTGGCTGGTGGGACACCTCATAGGTCCAGAAATTTGGCTGGGGGCAGGGGAGGAGTGGCAGCTCCACTCATCTGCTGCCAAATTTCTAAACCCACAGGAAGCACTTGGGCAAGAGCGGTGCTGGGAACTTGGGGCCCAGACCTAGCAAGGGCAGAGGTTGGGGGGTGGCACTGGGGCCCAATCGCATGGGGCACAGAGTTGGTGGTGCTGGACCCCTGGAGCCCAGTCCTGGCACACGGGACTCTATTGGCCTCTGGACCAGCCCCCTGCTGCTCATCTAGCCTAAAGGGCCAAAAGGCTGAGCACCACTTTACCAGGCCAGAGACACAGATGGGGTTGAAAAAGCTGAGTATCTTGCTCTAATATTTTTAGACTTAAAATCTCCCCTTTTCAGGGGACAACTACATAATACAAACACAAGTACAAATGTGCCAGTTTCTCCATGGTAGAAAATAAGGTTGCTGCCCCTCCCTCAAAAAAGTCAATGCCACTTCCTTCCTATGCTCAGCTCCTCCATTATTCTTAAACAAGGACAAACAAAAAAGCCCTGCAGCGGAATTGCTTTTTTCCCTTGACTGTCACTATAACGTATCATTTCCTGTCCATGCAGTCAGTTTCTTTACCATTGTCTTGCTTCAGAAACCTGCTTGTACCTCTAGTACAGCCCAAATATGGTTTTTATTTTATGCATCTGGGAAGGAATCTGATTTCCTGCTAAGCTAACATAAACATCATCCATTTCCAGCAGTTTACTTTACTTACTTACTTTAGCTGTGCCCATTATTTTAGGGAAGGTGTAAGTAGAGCAGCCTTCTGGAGTTTGGCCAAGTTGGATAAAAGGAGTCTGAAATGTTGCCTGTAGATATATATATATATAAAACACAAAACAAAACATGTGAAATTATGCTACTTACTACTCCCATTGTAGTGGGCATTGTATAAACACAACAACAGAAAGACAGCTTCTGTCCCAAAGAGGTTAGAGTCTGTTGGACAAGAGCCAACAAGTAAAGAAAAGCAGTGACAAATTCAGCAACAATCTCTGAATTCATAACAGATAGGTAGAGTTGTCATTGATAGAATTTCAGAAGGAAGCAACTAAGAGCATAGACTTAGGTTTCTTTAATATTTTTTTTCACGAGAACATCAATGGGCTAAATGTATGTGTTTGACTAATTACTATTGACGCCCCTGTCTCTCAAACTTGATGAAAACCTACACAATACAACATATAAAAATACAACATAAAATTAGTTCTAATTAATATATTTATGTACAATTTTCTATGCTTTTTAGAAGAAAGAAGGTGAAAGTGAGTTATGTACATTGTAATAGCCATTCATCATACATGAACAATTAAAACCTCTGCTGTTGGCATTGCAGCACTGATTTTTTCCTTGAGATCCTGTTTTTGTCCACTCACATAGCTATACTCTTGCTTCTTCAAGGATAAATTCTACACTAGATCGAATGAAATCACTTCAGAGTTTTGTGTCATCTAGCCATTTCTTGCATACACTGGTGCGAACATCATTAATGTTCATATAAACACATTGTCTGCCCAAGCCCAAAGAGTAGGAAAAGGAAATACTATTGTTTTCATTTTACAGATATGGAATTAAGGGCCAGAGTGAAGAAGTAGCATACTTAAGGTTACCCAGGAAGTCTGAAAAAAACAGTTCTCCTGAGTCCAAGTCCCTACAACCTCTCTAAATAGTCAAGTTAAAGAAGCCAGGGCATGTGACCGAATGTAGTGCAGACCACCCATGTGTGAACAGTATACCCCACTAATTCATTAGTTCCCATTATTGACCTCCAGACTATCCTGCATCCTTCTTTTTCTTACTGTTGAAGAAAATTGTTTCCTTATATTGATTGTAAATGCTCTTTAAGCATTTACAGATCATTAGGCCCAATCCAACCCTTTGTAACAACCTGAAAAGCTTCTTTTCCTCTACCAACAGCCTTTTCATTTCTTGAAGAATTTTTTGTATGGACTTTTCTCCAGTGAACACTCTCCATCCATCCTGTTTTACTTATGTTCTTCTGCTGCTTTTAAACTCTCTGGCTTTCCTTAGTGTCACTTCTTTGAAGTCTTTGACCAGATTTATTTTGCTCTGCACTGAAATGATTTAAATTTTCAGAATCACTCTTATTGTCAAGATGCCCAAACTGCAAGTGTGGGTTTAATAATCTTTTCTATAATGGGTGAATGGTGTATATTTTCCCCAATCCTTGGTGCTTGTGGAGAAATCACCCCCCAGTCTGTCTCACTGCTGCAAGCAGACAGCCCCCACCACCGGTTTCGTTGACCTACGTGGTTACGTGACTGTGTGGAGAAATTTCATAAGCCTACATGACTGTGTGGAGAAATTCATGATGGACGGGGGGAACTTGCTTGTCCTCTGTCCTGTGTAACCCTAAACTCTCACCTGAGGGTGCTGATGTTTTTTAAACTGACCAACCGGTATCCACCATGGTCTGAGGATACTGGTTTATGGTTGGGGTCCAGGTGATGAGGTCAGAAAGGTTATTTAAGGGTCCCTCCATCCTGGGGGGAGAAGAGACAACTGGGGAAACACAGAACCAAGCTAAACAGGCTCTGGATATATAAATGAGTAACCTACCTGAAATTTAGCTAGTCTATTAGGATATGTATTTTAGTTCCGTATTCAAAAGGTCCTCAAACCTCTTTGGTTTTGCTCAAAGTGTTTTACTCTAAAATCTCTTTGCTCTATATCAACCTCATTCGCTCACTCTGAACAATAAAAGGCTACCTGCATGCAGCGAGCTGGCTGTGGGTTCCCATGGAGAGAGGGCGTAGACAGCCGTTATAGCTCCCTTGACTTGTCTAGCTAAGGCGGGCTCGGCTTTTTACTTTCTTCCTGTACTGGAGGCTGCTTGTGAATGCTTCAAGCAAATAGAAGCACCTCAAAATCCCACGGTGGGTTAAGCACCTTCAAGGTCTACAGGGCCTGTGTAGCCCGGGCAGCACAGAGTCCTAACAAAGACCCAGGCCCGGGTGGTGGCAGCAATTGCCCCAGGCATGCAGGTGTGCTCCAAGAAGGGGGTCGGCCGGATGTAGGTGCCCCAGGGGAGATGCACAAAACGGGGTTATGGTTGGGCACAGTGGGGTGTATGGCTTAGCGCAGTAACACCCCTTACTGTCCCGCCATAGTGCTTTACTATAATATCAATAATAGCAGTTTTGTTTTTATGTTGTGTTTAGATTTTCACCTTCTGGAACTACTCACGTCAGTTTTGTGTTGACGTAACTCTGACTTAAGCAGCGTTGTTCTTGATCCATACAAGTCAGGGAACCATCCCTATTAAATTTCATTCTGAATTAGAAAATTAATCAGAAGTATTATTAAAAAAATCTTCAGGGGTTTTTATTAATGGAAAAAAATCAAAGGTAAAAAAAGAGACAGGCAATTGTAATATGCTGCCAAGCCTCTATTTCAAAATCTGGATTATAAACTTTCTTTTGCCGAGTAATAAAAACCTGCTGAATTTACTTCCTCATTAGTACAAGAGCTTTTCCCACCACAGAGACCAATTCATTCTCTTACTACTTAGGCCTGCTGCTGTTCAGTGGAATTGAAACTGTGAAAAACACAGTAAAAAATTACCCCTCTTTTCTCAACCAGATTCTTTTGCTGCTTTCTTTTGTGCTCCTTGCTCTTGACCTTCAAGTGGAGAATCAAAACGTTTCGCATCCTGAGGCAAGAAGTGTTGGATTCCTCTCTTTCCACACAATATGACATGAACTGTATCTCAAAATGTGAGGCTACCTTGTTTTCAACAGTAATATCTTTTCTTAAAGGTTCTCAAAAAACAGTTATAATTTCTGAAAGCCTTATTTAAAAAAACAACAAACCTTCAAACTAAATAATGCTCACATCATGAGCAGATTAATCCAAAAACCTGTCTGGAAGGGAGAAGACTTCTTGGCCCTTGACTAATCTTGAGACAGGTAAAGCTTGTGGTTCTCAACCCTTTAGACTCAAGGCACTGCTCTGTAACTTTTCTGAATTTAGTGGCACCCCCTTTCAAAAACTGATTTCACTTATTTGTTTGACTATTACAAAGCGATTATTTTATTACAAAGAACACAGAAAACCCACAACAGGTCAGAATGTTTTTGACACTGTAGATTTTTATTTGAAATCTCTGGATTTAATTTGTGAATCATGTGTAGGTGGTTGTATCCTTAACAGCACTAATATTGCGCAGCACCCTTAAAAGGATCTTGAGGCACCCTGGTTGAAAATTCCTGAGTTAGATATCAGAAAATTATCATAGACTTAAATGGGTATTGCACATACCTAATGCCACAAAATACTGATTATTCACCACAGGGGCAATACCAGCTCTTCCAGGGTTCTTTGTAACAGCAAATCCATTGCCTTCCAGACACATTTCAATAAATGCACCTGAAATTTCATTTCAGTTCGCAAATTCTTTTGAGATAATTCATGGAGTATGGGGGGGGGAGGAGGGAGAGATGAGGAAATCTATGAATAGCTCAAAAAGGCTGATGATAAATTAAGACATACCTGATATACATTTAATGTACCATAGATACTTATCATTTTGCATTATACAGCAGAATTAGATTCTGAAGAAAGCTCCCTTGTGAATGTAGTTCATTATAAAGAAAATACAATATTCATGTAATTCACAAATGTCTTTAAATTTATTCAGCCTTAAGGGTTTCTTAAATTTAATTCTAAATCTCTACTGCATCAGCATCCAGATTCACAAGTGTCAACATGAATCTGTCTCATAAATTAATTTAATAATCCAAATATCAAAAGTAATTTCACACCTGGAACTCTTTATTTGATGCTCAAAAGGTTATGTAGCTGTATTGACCACAATCTCAGAAACAGACCATGAATCTTGCATCTAGATATCAATATCTTTTTCCTAATATTTGCTTTGTCTTTGCTTTCCTCAGGATAGCAGACTGAGACCAATACTATTTTTTAATCATTTGAAAAAGTTGTAAACACCATCACAATAAATGTGTGTAAAGGAAAGGAGACTGAATTATTATCATGAGTTTGCTATTTGAATATCTTGCTAGCAAGCAACCTAATTAAAAGCTTTATACTATTTGATATCACATCCTGCAAGTCATAATGCATAGATGTACCATACCACCATCATAACATCATTTTAAGTTTAGTACTTAATAAAGGCACTCTTTGCATGATCTTGTAACTCTTTTTTAAAGACTTCTCTAAGACCTTGGTACGTTTAGCTTTTGCTGGTGTACTTGAAATAAACTATATGAAGGGTGCAGGAACGAACCATCCCCATGTGGAGGAAGACCACTACCAAGCATAGCAGAAGACCAGCTTGACTTAGTAGGGAACTCTTCAATGAGCTAAAACACAAAAAAGGAAGCTGACAAGAAGTGCAAACTTGGACAAATGACTAGGGAGGAGTATAAGAGTTGTTTGGACCTGCAGGGATGAAATCAGGAAGGCCAAAGTGCAATTGAAGTTGTAGCTAGCAAGGGACCTAAAGGGTAACAAGAAAGGTTTCTACAAGTACGTCAGCAACAAAAGGAAGATCAGGGAAAGTGTGGATTCCTTACTGAAAAGGGAAGGCAACATAGTGACATGATGCAGAAAAGGCTGAAGTGCTTAATACTGTTTTTACCTCAGTCTTCGCAGGCAAGGTCAGCTACCAGACTATTGCACTGTTTGGGGAGGAGGTGAGCATAGGTCTGTGTGAATAGGGAAGTATTCGATTTGGATTCGGATTTGGCTGACTTGGAGGGTTGTGATTCAATTAGGAGATTTGGATCACTGTCTCTAATCAATTTGGCCGAATCTGCTTCGG